ATGAAAATTGTTGTTTTCTTGTATTCGCAGTATTTTTTGTCATTGAAAATTATTTTAATATTAGAATAAATATAAAACCAATCTAACATGTAGTATATTTTAACTATACAGTGAACTTTGTATACTTCTACTTTGAGTCTAATTTTAGTTCCAATCACTACGGTTAAAACATATAAAGTCAAATTTTCTGCAACTTTTAGGAAAAAAGATTTATTAATTCCATAATTTTTCCAAAAAACATGCTTAATTTTAAAGTTGATTTAGTTGAATGTACGCCAGCACTTTATAAACAAAATTAAATTTATGAAAAAATGTATATATTTGTTTAATGAGCTAGTATGTCACTTTGTTATGTTCAATATATTCAATACATAAAAAAATGTTGATCTGTACATGTAATTTGTTTAATATTTTTTTTATATAAACTACTTTATTAATAAAACAATACAATAAAATTGACTGCTCAATTGACGGAGTTGTTTCCTAAAGACTTTAGATATTTGTAAGCTGCGTTATAAAGAATCTCCAAAAACATTCATCACAGTTAAGTTTAGTAATCTTATTATTTATTTTTAGTAAACGTTTAGTAATTATCAGCTTAATTTAAGCCGGTAGTTCCGACAGGCGATTCGTAGAACTTATTTTTGTTTTCTGGTTTCCCACTCATGATATTTCTGTAACGGTAAATTTTTCAACAACGTTGGCATTTTATTTGTTTTAAATAGTTATTTCTTATCATTGAGATTCCGTTCATAAACATATGGACTAATAGTTTGTGACTCAGTTACATTACATCTTAAATTGATAACAAAACTCACTTTCGTTTTGTTCTGGGAAATAAAACGAGAGTTTGTGTCACGCAAACATTAAAAGATCAGACCATGAATGTTGTATTTAATTAATAACTATTTAATTAAATAATTTTCATATTACTAAACCTTTTGTTAGTACTTACTCTGTTTTGGTTTCCTGCTTCTGATTCCGCTACACAATGAATCTCTTCGTACACTTCCGGGTGGCGTTTTCTAAACAGATCCGCGATCATTGTTCGAACTTTGTGGTGAGCCGAGTTGCGTAACAGTTCAGACCTGGGACAGGATCCACGAATGTGAGGGAGTGTTTCCATTAGTTGCTTCTCACCGCAGATTGGATTTCTGCAGTGGCTATTCCCTGGACTTCGTCCACCCGTTGCCCTATTGGCTAATGTTCATGGACATTTTTTTTTGAGTTAGTCCGTTCACTACTGGTTAATCCTACATTGTTTGAGACCCAATTGTTTGTTAATTTCTTCATCGATATCTCTCGCCGACTTTAAGTGAGCATCGTTAATACGACTGAGCGTTTGTCAAATGTTTTAATGTTGAAGTGAAGCTTGCCATTGCACTGTAAGGATACCAAGGCCTCTTAGCTTTCGTCCGGTATAATATACTGGTGTAGGTGTTACTGTACTGGCCATAGGTGTTTGATATGTCGGTATCTGATATTTGTTTGACCGCATAGTCTCGACATGCGTTGAAAATAGTCGATGATAGTTGGGACCCTTGTGCGACACAACAATGTGATTTAATTTGGTTGGACCTCATTTTATATATTTCCAACTTTGTTGAATTTGTCGTGGCCAATGATGTCACCAGTTTGGTTAAATTCGTAGGTAGTGGCAGAGAGTTAAATGTATTTCTTATGTGATCATGACCAACCCTATCAAACGCTTTTGATAAAACAAGCATTACAATGCGTATGTCACTCTTTTTTTCTATGGCTGAACGAAAACATCCGTCCACAATCGATGCGTTTATGTGAACACCGGATATTCCATTAATAAATCCTCTTTGTAGTTGGCTGAAGTGGATCGTTTCTCTTATTGCCTGGTCAAGACATCGTTCAATTATGCGACGAATGACGCTGAACATATTAATTGGTCTTCAGTTTTTTAAGTCAGTTTCTGTGCCTTTACCTTTAAAAATTAATATGGTTCGGCCAGTTCGCAACTTTGATGGGACAAAGTCCCATGCTAACATTATCTTAGCAATGGCCAAATTTGCAGGTGCACATTTAGCCTTTCGGATGGTTTTGAGTACAACTCCATCAGGCCCTGGAGATGTATCGATGGATATCTTCTTGATTGCTAACTCTACATCGCATAGCTTGATGTCAAAGTCTTCTAACTCACTGCTGTTGATATACATCTAGAGTTTTATGATTTGGTGTTTTCGTAGCTGTTTTAGTGGAGTTCAACACGTGCTGTGCTACTTTACGCCGTTGATTTGCGTATTGCCATTGTGCCAAATCGTATTTATGTTGATTGCTGATCACTTTTTTCCTCCGTTTTGACAATCTCTGTGAATTTGTCGTATTTTTATATCCCCGGTCGTTGCTAGCAGCTAATCCTTTTTTCCTTTTCCTGTAGTACGCTACAGCCGGATGTACAGGGCCGGGGAGATGACTATTGGCCTCAAACAGAAAGCAAACAAATTTTGAGACTAAAGAGTCGACAAATTCTACTGTCTCGATCTGAGGTGGTAGTTGAATGAATCTAATAAATTCCGTCTCAAAATTTGTCGCCTCTTGGATTATTTGATTAATGGAGATATCATTATCAACAGAGTTTAATACATTATTTACCAGGGTTGTACTCATTGTCTGACGTTGGGTATTATCTTGAGTGCCTATAGGTAAGCCATCTATAATTCTTTGAACTCTTCTTTGAGCACACGCTCCAGAGGCTTTAGCCAAATTTCCATTTAGAGAAATACATGTTTTTCCACAACCGAGGAATGTCACTTTTGGTTTCGTGCTCCTTGATGTTCCTGTATCTGCAACCAAATTGGCATTACCTCCAGATGGCCCCGGCCCGCTAATATTAAAAGGGCGTCGCACCGCCCATTTTTAAGGAGTAAAGAATAGGCAATTTTTTACGAAATCTTAATTTAAAGGTTAAACTGTGATGTGTAATTATTAGTTCAATAACTAGGACACTATTTTTGTAATATTTGTTATTATAATCGTCCATTATTATACTGTTTAAATTGTCCTACAATTTATTGTATTAAAACGACTATAGTTTAATTGAAACATGTTTTTAAATAAATACATAATTTATTTTCCCACTTCTTAATTAGTAAAACACTCAATGTTGTTAAAGAAATTTCTATATTAAAACAATATATAAGGTTATACTAAAATTTGTATAAAATGGGTGGTAAAGCCCCTTTTTGTTACTACTCAAGTTCAGTCAAATTCTCTTTTACCAAAAAAATAGCTTAACAAGCATAACTAAATTAATATACAGGTTGCTATAAGAGATTCCAAAATCACCCCTCCCTAAATCCTGTTACCCAAGGTCGGAAAAATCACAATGACCTTGAAATATTATTGTATGGTAAAAAAAAAATGATTCACATAGGTGGTTTTCTCATAACTTTAAAAAAATCGTCAACAAGTCATGTTGGCCTTGAAATTCTAAAGACCATGAGTATTTGTCGGACACCGTTATCAAAATGCAAGTTAAACATGGGTATCTAAAAAATAGACACTGTCTTTTGGCTTTGTATAATATTTTTAACACAAACGAGCACTGTATTTCATTTATGTAAACAGTGCAAAATTTAAACGCACAACGAATCACACAAGTGTTTTTCTAAAGTAAAATAGTTATGTTTTCGAGTAAACGCTTAGGCAAGAATTCAGTGAAATGCAATTGATCACCAATTATTTGAATAAAAATCCACCGTCAGTTGTTCCCACACGTTAGCTGAACTAAATTAACACAAAATCACAATTGAAAACGCGATATCTATATACATAATCTTATACATATATATATATAGTCGGTAACGTTCAGCGTTCGCACAGATTTTCCAATTGACCCCCAGCTCAATGACATATCCATGTTAAAAAAATTAGGGGTCTCATTTTAGGTCAAGACGAACCAATAAGTCCACTGATCAACGGAATCTCGCAAAAGCCTGTTTTATATATATAAATATATATATATATATATATACAGGGTGATACATTAATAATTATACGCTTATTTTTTCTGAAAACATTTTTTTACACAAACTGAAGTGTCTCCAATTAACAAAACTACAAAAACTACAGGTTTTAGTAGCAAGTTTGAAGGTACTTGTATATTATTGTAAGGTGTGTGTTTTACAACGATATATTATTTTGTTTTCATTATTGATGAGCAAAAGTTTGTCAAAGCAAACGAATGCAGCCAAATAACGGCTGAAAACGTTTAGTACTTTTTCTGGGGGTCTAAAAAAGGTGGACTTTTGTAAAACTTAAATGTAAACTTATACGCTTGATTTTCTTTTTAAATTAAGAATATTTTTCCGAAAATAACGAGCAATCTTTAGCAATTGATATTTTGATTGTTTTTTATGCTAACTACTGAAAGTAACGATAAATATGTAAAATATTGAAATTTGTCATAAACAGTCGAACAAACGGTGGCCTTAGTTGATAGTTGTTAAAGTATATTATGATGCGAGTATTTTTTTTTTGTGATTCAGCTGCTACGGCTGACGATACACAAATACAAATGTATACCTCTTGGGACAAAATATATATTATAGGCAAATTGTGAAATGTAGTACCTACATTTTTTTTTATATAACTTACTAAAAGTTGTAACAGTAAATCATTAAAAAGCTCTCTTTATTGTAATTTAATACATAAAAAAAAAGTAAAGGAAATAAGTAAAAAATTCAAAATTATGGAAAAATACAAAAAAATTCAAAATCGTCATAAGCGGTTTCAATAAATTTGGTATTATAAATTTATAAAAAAATATGTTAAAAAAAACACAGTTGTAATGTTCCGGAAGAAAGTTAACTAAGTGCTTAAGGAACTCTGATAATAGTACGCCGTCTAAGACCACTTTGCGTGAAAAAAACTAATTTCGAAAAAAAAAAATTGTTCATAAAAATTATAATAGGTATTTAATAAAATAAAAACAAAAGTATTTTGGTACTGAACTATTTAATCATCATCGTAATACTTATTCTTGCATATTGTGACAAAAAAAAAATCATATAATTATATTATTATTGTAGAGGTATAAGACATTAAAATATTTCAAATATTATAATTAATAAATACATTTAAACATTTCAATAATTCGAATAATATGTTAATGATTATTCAACAGTTGTATTATTTGTTATGTAGAAAAATAAGATTTCCGCAATGTTCATTTTTTTTGAAAAAAAATCAACCATTGATCGAAGTTTCTCGCAAATTTCTCCACAATAGTTTGTTCTTGAAGATTGCGGATTGTTAGTGAGTAAATCTTCCAGAAACCTTTTTGCTTGGCTCTCATAGAGCAGACCGTCATGGTCCGTGTCATATCTTTTAAAACCAGCTACCAATAATCTGACCTCTTGTGTACTCAACACAATCTCCTAAAAAAAAGACAAAGTAAAACTATGTATAGCGTGTAACGAACAATTAAATAATAGGCACAGAAAAAATACATAGTTGGTCCAATAAAAAAGGATGGTTAAAAAGCGACACAATAAGTTTCTAGTTGGTATAGGTAACTAAAAAATTAGTTGGATCGACTATTTATTTTTCCCGTGAGGAGTAATGCTTGACAGCAAAGGAATTTTAAATGGATATGCTTTAGCATTACCGATCCGTATAACCGTACAATTAATAAGTATTGCATATTTAAGCAAGATGCTTTTATAATTTGACCACGAAAAATTGTTAAGCTTGTCTCCTTGTACACTACTCGTTAACTACTCGTTAAATAACTAAGTAAAATTCACACTAAAACAACAAGTGTACACAAAAAAATGAAAGAACGAAAAAGTCGTAAGACCTTAACGGCCTACCCTATCTTTATAAATAATATACTTACACTTTTGACGCATAGGATCCTAGTACTTTTCCTAAATAAAATAACAGTCTATCGCGCTGTGTTTGGATAACTTTGGCTTTTTTATATTATATTATTCTCAAAAAAATTAGTTTTTAATATGTTAAGCTTTGCTGGTAGAATGCGTCCCATATAATTATATTATCCGCTATATCAACTAAACAATGTACAGCAAACTTTGCATAGCACCCTGGTAAAAATAATTTATATTACATTTTTGTGAACTGTCCTAGAACGTTCTGCAGTAACGATCATCAACTCCATCAACTCTATTGCAGCGGGCCCTGTGCAAGTTTCAATTATAATATATTATATAAGAACTCTAAGTATATCTAACGTGAGTATGTTTATTCTTTATTCTTACGGTAAAAATCAAATTGCTCTTCTCGCGGCATAAACATACCAAACCCATTGAAAATTTTTTTAACTTCCAAAGGATCAATGCTACCGGTTTCTTCAATTATATGTGATGTATACAAATCCATGAACTCTTCTATTTGACTTTGGCTTAGACCATTGCCCTAAAAAGTAACCAAAAAGGATAAATATAAGTAAGCTGTAAAAAAAATGTCTACCCATGTAAAATTGTATGCGGCTGTATAATTTTTAGCGATTTAATAATCGCAATTTAGTAATGATTCTCTAACTGTTAAAACAACATTTTCAAATTCAATTTATCCATAAAAATTTATATGGTCAATTTTCAAAAATTGCAAATAGTAGGACCTTGTTTTTTTATTTTTTTTTTAAATCCTACCCGAGTTTTCCTAATTGTTATACAATGATTTTTATTTTATACGGTTTCCATTTGATGTTCCTAAAAATACTATTATTCGTTGCATGAATATTTGCTTACTTCCGGTAGAATATCTATCATGACCGACAAGAATTCCACTGCGGATTCAAAACCCAAACCTAAAATTTAATAAATGTAGTTCGTTAGTTTGATGTAAACCATTACCTCGACCTTAATTTAATAATACCTCTTTCAGACCAAGGGATAATTCCCATGGCCTTATCTAATTGTTCTTCTTCTATGTTTATGGATCTTAAAAAATCTTCTATTTTTGCAAAAGGAAGCCATCCAGGGTGTTTTAAGTTTATGGTATATTCATAAAACTTTTTGACGTAATAATCTACTTCAAAGGACGTCAGCATTGGATTCTAAGTAAAATTATAAACATACACGAATATTTCGCAATAATGTATTTGTGATATTTTGATATTTGTTAATAGTTGAAATGTTTTAATGTTAAACTAGTTCTATAAGATCAAATACCTCAAAGTTGTCTTTTGTTCCTTCATACGCTAATGACAAAACTAAATTCTTAATATTGAAATGACGTGGCTGGTTAAATTTCCATTCAAAATCAATATTCGGATATTTAATTCCAAAATCCTCCTTCTTACTGTGTGGGATATTAAACGGGTATTTGTATAGTAAAATACATTTTTCTATTTGCTCCTTATTTAGTCCGGTGCTCTAAGTTAAGTAAAATGGTTTATAGTTAAATAATAGTACCGGGTGATATATCAAATGTAAGACACTCATTTTATGGTAAAACGATTTCAATATTATAGTTTTACTAATGTTTACTAAGAATTACAATATTATAAATTTATCAAAAATGTATCTTTTTTAAGATCTAAGAAGTTCTCAGGCAACCTAAATAATTAACATAGAAACCCGATTTTTAATTGTTAACCTTTTTTTTGTAAAAAAATTGGGTTTTAATATTGAAAAAAGTACATATTTATTTATTTAATTACAAGAAACAGAAATTTTTAAATAAAAATCTACTTCTTATAAAACATAGTAAAACAGCCAAAAAATGTAAATCTCTTAACACAATTAAGATTGGACCGTTCTATGTAGTCGAATTTTTTTATGGAATTTTGGTCTAAAATAAACCAAAATGGCTTTTACTCATAGAAAAAATTGTTTAAACTAAAAATAATACCTTGAGTCATATACAAACTAACTGATAATTTAATCGACATGGTCGAAATTTAATAAAACCTCTTTTTTCTTAAATATTACCTCTACAAAACTCCTTAAAATCAGACCACGTACCAGTCAACATTTTTAGCATTTTTTTTTTTTTAAGTTAATAAAATATATTATGCGTTACCTTTTAAAAGCTTAAGGCCATAATAGTTTAACGTATAAGTTATAGGACTAAATTACATAAGTCACCTTGTTCAAGTACATAATTATCTTTATTCAAGGAAATATTATTTTAGATTAATAAGTATCTTACCCATACTGATGTAAAGAAATACACCGCGTAGAAAATAACAACACTTTTAAAATGCATAATAGTTTTTAAAATAATTGAAATCCAATGAAGTACGTGTAGAATAGAACAACTATTGCCGCTGATGTCAAAATAACGAACTAACAGAAATACTTTGTGAGTGACGAAATTCTATAAACGTTATGTGTTTGCTGCTTGATTATTTACACACGGTGTACAGTCACTGGTAAGGTGGATGTCGTAGAGACATACAAAATGGTATATTATATTTTTTTTTAATTATTGTATTTTTTTATTCTGGTTTTCGGTCATTGTAATATTTTACTGATTGTTCTTATTTATACAAATGTTTTGTCGGTCCCAACTATATGCATAATGTTGTTTTCATGTATTCGCAGTATTTTTTGTCATTGAAAATATTTTTATATTATAATAAATATAAAACCAATCTAACAATTAGTATATTTTAACTATACAGTATACTTAATATACTTCTACTTTGAGTCTAATTTTAATTCCAAACACTATGGTTAAAAACATATAAAGTCAAATTTTCTGCAACTTTTAGGAAAAACAATTTATTAATTCCATAATTTTTCCAAAAAACATGCTTAATTTTAAAGTTGATTTAGTTCAATGTACGCCAGCACTTTATAAACAAACGTTGGCATTTTATTTTTTTAAAATAGTTATTTCTTATCATTGAGATTCCGTTCATAAAAATATGGAGCAATAATTTGTGGCTCAATTACATTACACCTTAAATTGATAACAAAACTCACTTGCGTTTTGTTCTGGGGAATAAAATGAGAGTTTGTGTCACGCAAAGATCAGACCATGGTTGTTTTTTTAATTAATAACTATTAAATTAAATCATTTTTGCATAACTAAACCTTTTATTGGTACTCACTCACTATTTTAAAACTTATAAGGTATATTATGTTATAATAAGAGTGTTTATAAGGACTTTAAAAAAAAATATGTTGAATTGAAAAATTTTAAATCAGAAAGTTGGTTAAGAACAGCTGAATCCATTTATTTTTATTTCATAATCAGTATTATCTTACATTTAATATCTGGAAAATCAATAACGTAATAAATTCTAAAATAATAAGACTGATCTTATAGAAGAAAAACATTGTTTAACGATACAAATTGAAGTATTGACCATACTATTAGACTATTTTAACGGGTACGTTTTACTAAAGTTATTTAAAAGTAGCAATATTAAATTTAAAAAAATAGATATTGCTCAGGACTACGGGTTTTTGCCTTGAACATGCGTTTTCAGTAAGTCTTTTCCATTTATTCTATATCTCCTCTTCACTCCCCTTTCTCCTTCCTGTTTCCTCCCCAGCCAGCCTATGGTGACAAAAATCGACAGACCCTATCAATACCCTATCGAAGCCTAATCGTGATCATTATCACCCAAAACATCCATGCTAAAATTCCAATTTTAATTTTTTAAGAAATAATATATAATTGGAAACAATAGCACATAACTTTTGTTAACAATTATATTATTCCATTTGGTTTTTTCTTAATATCTTATCTTGTTATAGACCTCAAATTATTAATATTTTAATATAAATAAAAACACAAACAAAATAAATATGATTTTTATAAACTTTAAAAATATTGAAATGACCATTTAAAAGAGAAGTTTTTTTGTGCAAATCATTAATTAAAACCCAACTTATTAGGGTTTATTTACTTATTATTATTATAGGTGATTGTACAATTGCCAATCCGACATCAAATCGACATAATGTTTACTATACCTAAATTCTATTCCTTTTTTTAAATTAGCGGTTTTAAATAATTTTTAACTTGTGATATTATTTCGTTTGAATATGGTGTTTTTTTGCGTGAGTTCTTGTTATAATAGCTTAGAAAATCGAAAGTTGTGCTAGTAATACATCATAAGTTTACAGCGTTCTCGAAACAGGTATACTATTTTAGGATTTGTAGTCACAGGTGTGTTAATATGTTTTTTTCGACTGACATGTACAACTCTGTGCACCTCTGAAATATTTTTGACTTTGAGAATAATATAACTTGATTTATATTATTTTACCCACCTAACGAAAAGCAGTCGTATTGAAATAAAATTTTTTCAAACAAAAGCTTCACACACTCTGCCTTTTTCTAAACTTCACAAAGTAAATATTTCCATTAAGTTTGGTACCCACCCCCAAATCTACATTGTAAGTAAAATAATCACTCTTATCGCTCTTTCCAACCGAAGGAAGAGACAATTATTTAGAATTGTGTTAAGGAACTTATACTAAAATAAAAAAAATGAACCACCCCACCCCTATTTTTTTTTTTTGAAAGATGGATATAAAGATCAAAATAAATATCAGGCAACTGTGACTAATATAAATTGTTTTTATGTTTATTATTGTTTACAGATAAATATGAAACTTTTCTGTTTTTTGACATCATTAATCTTTGTAAACGTTTCGACGGATGATCTAAGTAATTATTTTATTATCAAACTAACATATTTGAGGTAGGTAACAATTTCATTTTTTTTACAGTGGATTATCAAACAAATATTGCCATTACAAGTCAGTAAAATTTTTGTTTTATAAAAACAACGTCTTAAAATTTTACTGTTTTAATACATATTTATTTGAATTGTGTATTACAGACGCACACATTAAGCTTGCCTCTGAAAAGATTATTGTAGGTGATGGTTTTGTGGAAAGTAAGATTTATTTAAAATTAATTTTCCAGTATATTACTGTTTTTTATGTTTGTCTGACTGTTCAGAAAATTTATTTTTAAATTAAAAATTATGGTTTCTATAAACAGTTTAAAAAAGTACACGAGGTATAACATGGAACCAATTATCTAAACACTGTGTGTTTTACTAAATTAATAGGCTTTAATAAGTGACTATTCAACCTAATGAGGTGTAAGGAATTGCTTATTGTGTTGATTAATATATTTATTTTGATTTTGTTTACAATTTTTTGCATAGCTCAATCCTTTATTTGTTTATTCCAGGTGGATTGGAGCAAGTAATTAAAAACATTATTGAAGACGATACAAGTTATAGTTTAGGTAGTTATAATTATATAATGATAAAAAAAAAGAAATAATATTAGGAAAAAATATTTATAAATTATATAAAATTTGCAACTCAAATTCATTTTATGCAAATGTATAAGTGATATGAATTTTCTGTCAATCTCATCTAATTATTCAATTGTATTCTTATCGCCACATCTGGTTTAATTCAGCAATTATATTTTTTTATATATTTAGTATAATAACATTATTATTATATGTGCTATGTTAATATTTCAGGAGTTATGAATAATATAATCGCTGTACCGGGTAATAATTTTCAATGAATATAATGGAAAAATTTCCACTCGATCGTTTTGTATTCATTAAGTACAAAATTGTTTTTGGTTTAATTTCAGAAACTCCACACCTTAATGACTTCCAGGGTAATCACATTTTTATATTCCATATTTACAATACTTTACACTAACTCATTATATATATATACATATGGAGACTAATCATAGTATGTATTTTGTGTAATTCACAGAAAGTGCAAGACATCAATCAATTTTGAGAGAAAAAATAGAAAAAGAATTAGGTAAATATAAAATGTATCATTATTTAGAGACAATTTTCAAACTCATTAACTGTTCCTTAATTCCAAAGAAAAACGATAACAATTAAATTTAATCATATTTTGATTTTTTGTTTATTGCATAACCATTTGAAATGTAATTTAAACCCTCAATTAAAAAGTTTCTAAAAGAAACAAATGAATATTTTTACAATAATTGGCATTAATTATTTAGTCTAATTGATCTCAGTTTTAGATTGGTTGTCATTTAATATTTGTTCCAGATATTCCTGTTCCTAAGGTTTCTGTGGTTTTGGAATCAGGTAATTACGAATTTTTCTACAATCCTCAACAGCGTTTAAAGCTTGTTTAGAGTTGAAATTAGCTATATTTTGCATTAATATTCAAATGTAGTATGATTATTTATTATTTTTTATATGAAAAAAAATTAGAAAAAATCTCATTTGAATAATTATTTTTATTATAATATTATTTAAAAAGAATTTCATATTCGCAAAAAGTAATAATAATTATTATTTTCTATCAACACATTCATTCAAAGATTTTTGCAGATTTTAGAAGATTGACTTTGATAAATCTTGGAAGTAAAAGAAGAGATCTTACTAAAGAAGCTATAATAAATATATGGAACCAGGATGTAGGTAAATATTACTAGAATACTGATTTGTAAGTTAGTAATACCTAGTCGCTACTATCATACACTTCCTTATAATAAGAATAGCTGCGTAGTTGTGCTAAGTTTAGCAAATTGAAAAAAAAATTAATTTTAATTTTTTAGTTGGATCAGAAGAGCAATTCTCTTCATTATGGATATGCCGTTTGATAGCACTGTTCATGAGTACAAAGTTCCCACTGTCATATGTAAGAGATATTCAGTTTGACCCTGATACTTGTATCATATATGATGGGGTTATATACAAAACATACAAAAAAATTGAAGACGAATGGTGGATATTCACCGGCAATGTTAATTGGCTGAAACTTGAGAAAGAGTTTGTTTATTAATAATTTAGACTAACGATAACATATTGAGATTATTTTGACCAAAAATTAATAGTGTAACTCGTCTAAAATGCTATGGTACAGATATTGTTTTATTTAAATAATATTTACATTATGCACTAATATCCAAGTTGTTAATTCATAATTTATTGTAATTTATAATAAACACTTTTACTTACGATTATAATCACATTTGTTACTTGTGTGTTGATTTAGGCACATATTTATGTTTTTACCATATTATTTTACAGATTGACTTGGAGGAATTTTTAAAATATAAATTTATCTATTTTCTGCATAAAGTTAACAACAATAATATTATCTCCGTGACATATCGAATCATGTTTGCCTAATTTTTTAAGTCAAAATTTTCTAGAACAGTAAATGAGTGTTGTAAGACACAACGATGACGATGATATAATCATAGGGAGATAGTTACACATTCTAGGACTTCGGAAATTAGAGACTGTTCCTAACAATGACAAACAAGAGCTTCTCTAGTAGCTTATTTATGGTAACCCCGTAAAACATAGGCTAATATGAAAGAGCTAATTTCTTAAAAATATAAATATTTCCAACAGTTACAAACATGTCCAAAACTGAATACCACTCAAACATAACACCTATAATTATTCAAAAAGCCGTTACAGTGGGGTGGGGGCACTGTGAAGAGGGCCCAGGTCTGTATGCATTTTTACAACTGAAAATGATGAAATCATTTTCAAATAAACGCTTCGATGTGAATCTGTAATGGTAGAAATGCAAATATCTATAAAAGCTTTGTACCTGTTCGGACTTGAGCACTCCTGTTGGCAACAAAAGCGCAAGCGAATAAGAAAATATTTAAATGGAGAATAGTTTGGAGTGGAAATAGATGCGTAGTGGTTTGCTTTCTTAACTTAATTTTTTTTCCTAATAATTCTTTTGTACTTAACGTTGAATCTCTCGAGATGTGTTGCGCAATGGTGATCAAGCTGCCCTAGCACCTGCAGTGGTCGTCTTTAGTAATCCTTTTCTTTATAAGGAAAATATTTACACATTTTACGCATAGGACCCTAGTACTTTTTCTTAATAAAATAACATTCTAGAGCATGATATTACATTCGAATGATGCACAATTCTGTTTTTGACTAGCTCATAATACTAGTGATTGGGTCCGTTTAAAACTAGAAATTTTCACTAAACTATAGTTTTTGTATAACAGTATTAATAATGTAATTAGAATTCTCAATATGAATTATAAGTTGACAAATAGCAGCATAATAAAAAATAAATTATAGATCAGAAGTAGGTGCTTTCCACCAAGGGAACACATTTGTTTAAAACATCTAAAATATCGATAAAACAATTTATTATTCTTAAAAAAGCGAGCAGTTTTTTCTTATTTTAAATTAAGCCTATTATACAGAGCCTTAAGGCGCCAAATCTCTTAATCCAACACAGCTGGGTGTCTTCTGGAATTACACAGATTCTCAACTGTGCTGCGAGAAGCATGGGCATCTTTCGGGACACTATTGAGATTGTCTAGGCACCTACTCATAGTGATGCGTACCCGTGCAAGTCTATGAGTTGGTTGTGGATCCCGAACACCGGGGTTTTCCTAATGAACATGTTGAGACCGGCGTGCCACGAGTTGATCATGATCGGTCGATCGGCTTGGTGACACCTGGACTCCGAGTACGGATTAAACGCGTACACCTGCACGATACCTGTCTGCGATGGCACCACGATGGCCACGTCCATGAGCTGATACTACCAGAAACATTTGAATATCACTTGGACATGGTGCAGGTTCAACCGGCCGTTGCACCGGGTCGAGGAGTGGTCGCTGAGCGGCAGCTTGCTCAACACCGGCGCGTAGTGCACTTGCCGCCCGTCATCCTGCAGGTACACCAACAGGCCGTTGGCCAGCGATAAGTTGTCGTGCGACACCAACAGCCTGGGGTGTGCCGGACCGGCCAAGAGATACTGGCCCAATTTGCTGTGTGCCATCTTGTCGACGAACGGCACCGCTGACCGGGATCCCACGTACACGTCGATGTTGGTGGACCGAGCGAACGACATTGAACAGTTACGCTTGAGGCAAAAGTGTTCTTGAACAAGATGTTCCGCGATATTCATCGGGACGACAAGGCGGCGAACAGTGTCAGAGCTACACACATGATTGTTGGTCAGAGTTAGGTTTGAATTAAAAATGAAAGGTTAAATCCATCGTTAAAAATTTGAAATTAAAAAAAAATGTATTCGAATAATGTATTTACAATTTATTAGAATAAATAATAAAAAATATATATGCTATTCTAATAAAAATAGTCATTAAAAAAATATGTATGTAGATCCATTTTTATTATTATTTTATAGGTAAATAGGAGATTCAACAAGAATTTTATAAATGTTGTCTTATATTCGTTATATTTTGTTTATCTTTATTTGTTAAGATATCTATATATATTTCATGTTATTATGTAATTAGTTTTGTTTAATATTTATTGATAAATTAGTAAAAATACCATTTACTAACATCGACTGTTTAGAGAGATATCAACCAGAATGCCATCTTATAATTCAAGGAACCATTCTTTGTTTTACATTTTACGCCATTCACGAAATTTATAGCTATTATTGACCTATTAACCGTATACTAATGAATTGTAATAATCTAAATACATTTTTTTTTTCGATAATCTAATTCATAGTTAATTTGTACTATGATTAATTGTTATTATTACAGCATGGACCATGCTTTAGCAGTGGCCCCACAGCCCGAAAACGACATTAAATGTTGATACTAAAGTAGCGTGCCTACTTTCAACGTATAATAACACATAAGATGCCATTGAAATAATAATGAGTCATGAAAACATATGGCCAGAACATATAATTAAGACTATACTATCATCATAAATCGCAAGCAGATTATAGATCAGAAATATTTACTATTCAGGAGCCAGCCGGCTAAAGCATGTTTCATGTTTTATAATTTTAGCCGTTTAAGGCTATTATAATATTTATAGATAATTTTATGGGAAAAGCAAAAACCTTCTGCTCGTGTATTACAACTTAGATTGTACTTAAACTAAGGGGCATCTGTCTTTTGGAATGGGTTTTCTGATATGTGAAAGCAATAAAATATTCTTTGTTTTTTTTTTTAATCGATAAATTTGTACATGAGTTAATCTTAATACTTTAGCTTCGATGCGGAGCTGAGATAATTTTAGGACTTTTTTGTTGACATTTTGTCAGTAGGCAGAACTTATTGTGTGTCCATAACCAATCAGTTCTGTGCGAATTATTAAAATAATTAAAACCCATCTTTTTAGGGTTTTTTTACTTATTATCAAATTATTGCATATTTGCCAAATCGACATACTGTATACATTCTGTTACTTTTTTTAAATAATTTTCTACTTATAATATTATTTCGTTTGAATTTGGTTTTTTTTTCGTGTGAGCTCTTGTTATAATAACTTAGAAAATTGGAAGTTATACTAGTAATATATTATAGCTTGACAGCATTATCGAAACAGACAATTATTTTAGAAATTGTAGGCACAGATGTTTTAATGTATTTTTTTTTCTACTGCTATACCATTCGATTGTTAAAAGACAATTTATTAAACTTTTCATAAATCCCGTACAAAATATACAGAAAACGCGACTACATCTACTTTTCATGTTTTATACAAGTGGTCTTTTATAAAATTTACTATCTTTGCCGTATCAACTACGTGTACCTATGAAAATTTGAAACATTTGGGACTTCGCATATTATAATACCGGCGTGACAAAAAAAAATTCATATTGAAAAAAAAGTTTTTTAACGAAAGCATGAGAATAAAATGTAACACAAAATTTGAGATTCAATCTATTCTTTTGCATTTTCCCCAAAATTGATGCAACTCCTAGAGTGTCATATGTATATTAATTTCTTATTATCTCCTTCCGAGTCACTCCACTCGTCCGTCTTGGCATTATCATCTCCGCTACACTCATTCTCTGTTCAGTTTTCTTGTCTACTGCCAAACATTACAACCCATGTACACTATTGCTGGCCTCACTAACGTCCTATGAAATTTACCCTTGAATCTTATAAGCATACTCCTGTCATACAAAACACCTGAGGCTCTCCTCCACTTCATCCGTCCACAATTCATTATATTTTTCATGTCCTCTAATATTCACCATTTTTTTGTATTACCGATACTAAGTACTTGAAACTACCAATCTCACACATTTAATCATCATCCATCTGCATCTTCAGTTTCTTCACATACACACACTCTTCACTCTTTTACTTACTACTTCATACGTTTCCTCTATAACTTTCACATACACCCCCAGCACTCCTTTTCCCCTCGACGTGCACCTCAAATACTCTCTGGGAACTCTGTAATGTGCCTTTTTTTAATCTATAAACATCATATTCAGTTTTTTTTCTTTTTCCTGTGTTTCCCCACAATCTGGCTCATATACAAAATAATAGTTCTATAGTTGATTTCTCGACATCAACCCAAACCGATTCTGTGACACTGTAGTCTCACTCCTTAATATCTTTTCTATAACCTTCTCGCAAACTTCCACACTTAAGATTTTCTGAAGTCAAACAAGTAATGCTCATATTGTTTTATATTTTTTTGAAATTATTATCACTATAATATTTTCAACTTATAACATCATCTCGCTCGAATTTGGGTTTTTTTGTGTTTGTGCGAGTGCTTGTTTAACAGCTTAGATAATCGAAAGTTATACCTGCTAATAGTAAAGCATAAACTGACAATATGTTTGAAACAGATACTGGTTTATCGTATGACGTTACATAATACTTAGTAGAGCGATTTCACAATTAGGGTTACACAATTATTGGGTTTGACACGTTTAACGTATACAGTATTGTATGATTTGTATAAATATATGTCTCTACATAATATATGGTAAATATAATACCCCACTCAAGTTTCAATAATTTTTTATATGTCTCTATGTATATTTTTTTTTTCAACGGCGCTATATCATTGGATTATGATATGCAAAATAAAACAGTTTTCTTGTCTACTGCCCAAAATTCTGACCCATATAACATTGCTGGGCTCACTATCGTCCTATGAAATTTACCTTTAA